CATTGGTCCATTCCCCGAAGGAGTCAGACATGGGTTTACAATAAGTTTCCTACAGGAAAATCATTCTTAAGTTATATTTATTATTTTTATGAGCCCTGTGAATATGGGGGAACCCTAATCTAAATATTTCATATATATAGCTTGCAGCTTAGAAATACAAGGGAGATGTATTAGTATTGAGATGCTTAGTATGAGACATATTCAAATGTTTTGGATCAATGGAATTGTTATAGCCTTCTTATTTCTTTTGTATAGCATACACAGTGAATTTCCTTGACTGAAGAGTCTATTCAATCAGTTCAGTGGATCAGGTTGAACCATATTAGGTTGCCATTTTTGACCCAAAAAAAGGGCATTTTATTGCAGTTCAAAGTAATGCATGGAAACCCACTGAATACTGCAACACATTGCATAACTTAATATAATTTTAGGACCGGCCAGAAAACGTATGTTTAGCAATAGAATTTGTAATGTCTTAGTTTTTTAGTGAATCTTGCAAGGCTAAAATAAGTCATGAAAATCAAACATTTTTCCCATATGGCTCAATGATTTCACACCCTGAGTCACGATGTTTATCCAGGCTACTAGAAAATAAAAAGGAAATAAAAGACAAAGCCAAAAAGTTAAAAGCAAAAGATGGTGGAACAACTTAAAAAGATCAAAGTTATGATTATACCACTTACACCGCTTATGCATAAGTTCTTTTTTTATAAGCAATTTGCAAAATTCTGTTATGAAAATACTGCTGTGGAGACACCTTGAAGAGGTGGGGGTGGGAAAGAGAGTTATGCAGGGGCTGTCATCTCCTGTACCAAAGTGACCACATTCTAACACGCTTATCCTTAGAAACACACGGATGAGTCAAAGCACGAGTTTCGGAACCACATTGTCGCCTGTGTCTTTGGAGACACCCATTCGGCTTTGATGGGGCTTCAGAACTTTGTGATGCCTTTGCGAGCGAGCAACTACACCCGGAGGGAGCTGAAGGACATTGTGTTCATCGGGTCTCTGGATTACATGCAGAGAGAGTGGCGCTTTCTCCAGAACTTTCCCCAGATATATGTTATGCCTGTAAGTCTCCCCCACAGAACTGTGAATATTTATAATGCTAATGATACTACCCCTACTAGCACTGATGATAATAATAACAGCTTGCCATTCCATATTACATATTGAGGATCAGAAACTGTTCTGGATATTTTATAAATCTACCCAGATAGACAGATAGGGAGATATGCATGAATTCATGTAATCCTCAAATAACCCAACAGGGTAGGTATTAAAGACTTGGAACTTCAAGCACGGAGAAAATACGTTGTCCAAGATTACAGGGCAACTGTAGGAGCTAAATCTAAGCGGTATGGGTCCTGTGTTTGTATTCACACCACCATGTTTTGGGGGCTTTATGCTCTGTATTTCTGAGTCTGAATCTCATTTACTGGTCAAACCAAATGCCTCTGCTCACTAACGTTCACATCTTTTCTGGCAACATCTTATACAGAACACACGTCACCACCAATTAGAGAGTGAATAGAGTGTCAGATGTATGAAGAGATGGGCTTTGGTTGACCTTTTTGAGAAATGCACCTGCTGTGGTTTTCATGGCCCCTCCAAAATGCAAGTCGAAACTTAGTTGTCATGGTAACAGGGTTGCAAGGCAGGGCCTGCATGAGGTGATTATGTCACGGGACCTTGCCCTCACGAGTGGGTCAGTGCCCTTGTCACAGGAGAGGGGTGAGTTATCACAGGAGGGGGTCCCTGAGGAGAAGGGGAGGTTGTCCCCACCATCTCCTGCACATGCTCTCCCATCACGTGATGCCTTGGCCTTGTTAGCTTGCAGCAAGAAGGCCTTTGGTAGATGTGGCCTTCAACTTCAGACAACCTAACCTCTGCAACTGTGAGAAATAAATCAGATTTCTGAATTACAAATTGTCCAGTCTGTGCTATGATGTGATAAGTGACAGAAAAGATACTAAGATGGGAGCTTTCTATATACACGCAGCATTGCAATTGCAGTTATATTTTTCCTGGGCTCTCATGGACCTGTGGCCCAGTCTGTGCCTCCATTTCCCCGGATGGAAAGTCCATGATGTGCACAGTGAAATCCATGGGAGCATTTGCCTTTTCATGAGATCATATGGGCAATGATGGGTCAGGAGTGCTTCTCAAACCTCACACGTGATCCTCTCAAGGAGCAAATCACAGTTGCTTTTTTAAAATCCACCATAAAGTCCCCTTATAGTATTCTTGGTGCTTCAGCCAATAAAAAGGAAGGCAGGAAAATGGCCAGAAGCCAGCAAATGTTAGGAATTGCTCAGGCCTCCAAGCAACCTGAAGGTGAGACCAGAACTCTCCCTGTTTCTTCAACAAACAAAAGACACAACTGCCACAGTGCCTGTTAACTCAGAGAAGACAAGTTGGCTGGGTGGCTGGTAAGGGAGTGAGGATGCAACACTTTTCTTTAGACCTCTTTTCTGCAAGTTTTTCTCCTCGCCACTGTCAGCCAGACTCAGTTTCTCTGCTCCCACTTGAGTCATCTAAACAGATCTGTGCTCCTCACTGCTCATCCTCCTTGGTCTCCTCCTACCTTGCTCTCAGGAAAGGGTCTGGGAGATGCACTGGCTCTAAGATATTAGCAAACAATAAGGTTAACTGAGTCAGACACCAGCTAAGTAAAGTTAGAAAAATCAAGCCAGGGAAGGCTGGAGAGTCTTTGGCTCAAAAAAAGTCGCAATGTTCAGCCACCACCCCTGAGCCATGAAACAAAATCCCCCCAGCTGACAAACCCCTCCCCTGCCCGTTTTTCTCTCCTTAGGGATCTGCACTCTACATCGAGGACCTGCACGTGGCCAACATTGAGTACTGCTCCATGTGCGCCATCCTATCCCCCCCCTCCAAGCCGTCCCATAGCCAGACGCTGGTAGACACGGAGACCATCATGGCCACCCTCAACATCAGATCCCTGCGCATTGGCTCCTGTGCCCACACCACGTCAGGTCAGATCAACACCCCTGGAAGGAAGACGCCAGGCAGCATGGAAGCAGGAAAGGATAGCTTTTCTAGAAAGTACTTTACCTGTGGGGGATAAAGAGGATGAGCCTGATGTCCTTTACGAGCCCAGATGGCTCTTGACAATCCTGTAACAGGGCTATAATGCTGTAAGTGCCCATAGTTAGTACTCTGGAATTCTAAGTCAAATGCGAAACCACATGGAGCTTCGGGTCTCAGGTTTTTGGTGGATATTGGAAATATACTCAACTCTACTCAGCACTAACAAGTGGCTCTTTTACTGAACACAAGGCTACTTCAAAAATCTCATGGGAAAATGGGATTAAAATATGTTTATTTTGGTGCAAAAATATTATTGAAATCCATGCATAGATTGTTTTTTAATACACATTGTCCATGAACTCTTTGAAGTACCTTTGCATTTCTTGGGGAGACAGGAGAGGTGTCATATCTTGCAATGCACAGCACTCCTTCTGGAAAAAAGAATCCACCTTTGAGTTCCTCTCACCCCATCTCTGGACTCTCTGTCATCCTGCCTTTATCTACTGCTGGAGAGGCTTCCCAACATCACTTACCTCCATTCACTTCCCTTCCTAATCTCCCTTCCCCTACCATTTACCTGGCTTAGCAAACAAAGGACACTCTCCTTTTCTTCCAAAGCAACATAGTCTTAGTTGCTAGTAGACTTTGAACTTTCATGATATTTTTGCCCTGTTACACAACATCCTCTGCAAAATCTAAAAGAGTAACCAACAGTTTAAAAGCATAACTTACACTGAGACAATGTCTTTTAAGGGCACCCTGGTTTCCCACTCCCCTCCTCCCTCCACATTTTTAGTGTTGCAACAAGGAGACCCAAACCCTGTTGCCAGGCTTCTTTAAGAAGCTGTTCCACACGCAGGTCACTGCATGACAAACCCCTGTTTAAGGCCAGGGTTGTGCCTCAGCTCTCACGTGGGTGAAAGCAAGAGGAAGAATCATCTATAAACTGAGCTCAGGGACCTCCCATTCCAGTCTTTCCAAGGGTACAAGGCACTCCAGACAGAAGTCAGCTTACCAAGTGCAGGAGGAAGCCAGTTCTCAGGAGACACACACACACACACACACACACACACACACACACACAGGCATAAGCAGTCCTTGCAGCCAGAGAGGATCCCCGAGGTCAGACAGATAACACCGGAACCGGAAGCCAGCTACAGTGCCTCCAAAAGCACTTCCGGAGCACTGCCGCCGATTCAGTCAGTTTCCCAAGAGTTCTGTAAGCAAATTGATGCAATATGAGATGCCGTCAGACAGAGCAGTTACTCAGTGCTACCGCTCCTCCAGGAATAATCAACTCTTAGTGCTGATGTCAGCAAGTAGCCACTGAGAGAGCTCGGCTGGCGTTGCTCGTCACATGAAGTGCCGTTTAGCGAACATGTGTGCACACACACTCACTCCCACCCCACTCCCTGCCACTTCACCAAAGGAGCTTCTGAGGAGGTTCAAATACTGTCAGCCCTCTGTATCCATGGGTTTCACAATCACAGAGTCAACCAACTACCACCAAAAATAGTGGGGGAAAAACTTACATCTGCACTGAACATGCACAGAGTTTTTTTCCTTGTCGTTATCAACTGTTTATACAGTATCTCCAGTGAGTTAGGTGTTATAAGAAACCTGGAGATGATTTAAACTATGTTGGAGGATGTGTATCAGATGCCAATACTACACCTTTCCTGCAAGGGACTTGAGCATCATTGGATTTTGAGATACACAGGGATCCTGTAAATAACCCCAACAAGGACGAAGGCATGACCAGCATACATTTTTTTTCTAAATATAAAAAAGATTTTGGGATTTGGGCATGAAAGAACAGTGCTAAAATAAAGCAACAAGTTACGTGCTCTTCTACCTCCTTGTCAAGTTCCGCAAGCCAATGTGCGTGTATTTCTCATCTCTTTTCTCCTTGATTTTTGTGTTTTGCCTACAGAGCGAGTGGCAACCGACTTAAATGAAAACTACGGGAAAACAAAATACCGAAGAATTCCCATCCTCACTGAACTCAGTAAGTCATGTTTCAAGAGCAAAATTCAAGGGAGAAATCTTTTTGAAGTATAGTTCATGTCAGGTTCTTTCTAGAATCCAAAGGATAGAAGAACAAGAATGGCCGGCGCCGCAGTTCAATAGACTAATCCTCCACCTAGCAGCGCCGGCACACCGGGTTCTAGTCCTGGTTGGGGCGCCGGATCCTGTCCCGGTTGCCCCTCTTCCAGGCCAGCTCTCTGCTGTGGCCCAGGAGGGCAGTGGAGGATGGCCCAAGTGCTTGGGCCCTGCACCCCATGGGAGACCAGGAGAAGCACCTGGCTCCTGCCTTCGGATCAGCGCAGTGCACCGGCTGCAGGGCGTCGGCCGTGGTGGCCATTGGAGGGTGAACCAACGGCAAAGGAAGACCTTTCTCTCTGTCTCTCTCTCACTGTCCACTCTGTCTGTAAAAAAATAAATAAATAAAAAATAAAAAAAAATAAAGAATGGAGCCCAGAGAGCTCTAGGTCATTGCTGGATCTTATCCTGGGGTCTTGCCTGATGAGTGGCATTGCCCAGCACAGCCTGCCGCTCTGGGCATCAGGCATCTACTTCCCCGTTACCAGGAGAGGCAGGGAGACCAGCAGCTGGCTCAGTCTTGGGCAGCAGGAGGGGACTTGGATCTGAAGATTGACAGACAGGATCTCCCCGTCGTGATTTATCTAACCTATCATGGGACTCTCAGCCAAGCCTCCTCCTCCTCCTTTCCTGCAGCAGTGCCAGAGCCAAGACCAGGAAGAGAGCCAGGAAGGCTGCAAAGCTTGGAGGGCAGGCTTTGAGGAGGTGCTGGCTCTGGAGGGCTTTACATCCTGAGTTCTAGGTGTCTCCCTTGCATTGTCTCAATCCCAGCCCTGAGTGGTGCCCTTCTAAAATGGAAATACCCCCCAAGAGGAATAACAGAACAAGCTGTTCTCTTTTGGCAACCGCTATGAACATGTAACTTCCCCAGACTGCATCGGCTCTAGGAGCTGGAAGTTCTGTAGGGAGATACAGGGAAAGCTGCCCATATGCACGAGGGGGGATGTTGGAGGCTCATTAAGGGCCCATGGGGATTCATTACTGCCACTAATTGAGGAGAAAGGAGAAGACACCACAGAACAGCATTGCGTTGCCTTTTTTTTTTTTTTTTTTTTTTTAGACTAAACAACTCAAACATGATCTCCAAAGCTAGTCCTGGGTGTGTGATTTTACTTGATGCTGTAATAGAGAAAAATGCTTCATGGACATTTTATGATTTAGAACATATAATCTGAGTGGGACGTATATCAAACTAGATGAAGTGATAGCTCAGTCCTGGGAATGAATGATGGACACTTGGAGAGGAATCCGCAGATCCCAGCACCGCAGGAGCTGGGGGTGGCAGTGTAGCAGATGGGACCACAGGTTGTTGCTCTGGGTCCTGAGGGAGAGGCTCCTCAGATTCACCTTGGAACCTCTCAGACCCTGGATCCTGGTCACAGCCTCCCAACCTTGTAGCTTCCAGCTTCAGATTTTATTTATACGTACTTTTTTTCCTTCCATTTTGGGCCATGTCTAGCTCCTAAGGTGCATATATACACTCAGTATGTTAAGTAGAAGAAAACTGTTCATTAGAATGGTTAGGAGGAGATCAGCTAACTGCCTCCTGGCCCAGAGGAACATCTGGTCACTCTCTTGGGGCTTCCAGGCTTAGTTCAACCAAAGACTTTTTGGCCGCAGGCAGCCTTTGTCAAATTTGCCTGACAGTTCACCTGCCAATTAGCTCAACTACTTGTTCTTTGACTGACTGGACAGGGTCATACTGACATGGCAGCTGCAAGCCTGCCTGCCAGCACTTTGGAACAGAACATACCAGGGCCTGCAGGAAAATGACTGGAAAAGCAGAGGCCACTGGTGTAGGATGACACAGCAAGATTCGGACAGAGTTTCATGAATGTTGAAGGTTGGTGACACACAGATAGGAAAGTGGGAGTGCATAGGAGAGGTGGGTTGGAATTAGTCACATCTTGTTCATTTTTTATAAATCATATAGCTGTCCTTGGAAGAAAATGATTCATTAATACCACTAGTCTGTCACTTCCCCCACATTTATTGAGGAACAATTTAAGGGATTGGGGAATAATCCATTCTCAGTGAAAACGCCTTCTGAGCTGTATGTCCAGTGGATTTGTTTTGATCTATAGTATCAAGAACTGCAATGTCAAGATCTGTGAGCTGTTGACTTCTTTATTCTACTTCAAAATCAAGTAGTTAACCTCAAGTCTCGTGGATGCTGGCCAGAAGACAGAAGCCCCCAGGGTCAGAGAAAAAAAAAAAAAAACAACTTTTTTATGACCCACAGTAACAGCATCCTCAATTTGGTGCTAGTTGCTCAAGTGCTGCTTCCCAAAGGCTGACATGAAGAAGGGCCAAGAGACAGCTTGCCCAGAGTTTACAGAAACGGAACTGAGTTTCGGAAAGGAGAATCTTCTGTAACAGGCAATCAGCACGCATTCTCGTAGCTCTGAAGGGGAGCAAGGCAGACAGCATCTCTATCTTTCAGTGCTGTTCTCTATTGGACACATATTTTTGAAGCTATAGTCCAGGGAGGCAGGCAGCCAGTGCCTCCCATCTCACTCCCCACAATGACCAGTTGTGTTCATTTGCAGAGCCCACCTATTGGAGTGAAAGTTGTAGCCTGGAGCCAGATAGATAAGACAAATGGAAAACTTGGCTCTCTCTGCACTGGCCTCAGTTAGGATGATCCTGTAAACCCTTGCTACTCAAAGTGTGGACCATGAGTCAGCAGCATCAGGCAAGTGGGCTCTCAGGCCCCAGACTAAGCTGAATGAGTCAGAATTTGCCTGGTAACAATATCCCCAGGTGATTGACAGAACCACTGTCACTCACTCTGGGCTCAGATAACTCTAAGCATCAAGTGGCTAACATAGTATGGCATGATATTGCAGGGAAAGACTATAAGTAGGATGACCATAGATTCCTATTTGTGCCTATTGCCCTAGTATAGTTATTGAGAGTACCCCCTTCAACTCTCAAAAGTGTCCTTTTTTTAAGATTTATGTATTTATTTGAAAGTCAGAGTTACACAGAGAGAGAATGAGAGCCAGAGCCAGAGAGAGAGAGAGAGAGAGAGGTCTTCCATCCGCTGGTTCACTCCCCAAATGGCTGCAATGGCCAGAGCTGCACCGATCTAAAGCAAGGAGTGAAGTGCTTATTCCTGGTCTCCCATGTGGGTGCAGGGGCCCAAGCCCTTGGGCCATTTCCCACTGCTTTCCCAGGCCATAGCAGAGAGCTGGATCAGAAGTGGAGCAGCGAGGACTCGAACTGGTGCCCATATGGGATAACCGCACTGCAGGTGGGAGCTTTACTCATTGTGCCATAGCAGCAGCCTCAAAAGTGTTCTGTTCTGAAAGATAAACTATACAATCAGTCTATAATCATGGAGAATGTATATTTTAAAAAAGCTGTGCATAAATTTCAAAAAGCTTCGGCACCAAAATAAACACCTTTTCATTTGGTTTTCCCACAAACTGTATGAAGCATCTTCACATAGAAGGGACAGTCAGAACACTTGTCTGGGGAAACTTGAGCCTGTGGCAGGAGAATGTCCCTGTGATGATGAAGGGACACCAGGTGCATGCATGTCTTTAGGGAAGGAAGATTCTTGGAAAAGAAAAAAATGTCCTAAAATAGGGGTAGATCCCATAGAGACCCGAAGGAGACACCTCTGGCCTTCCTTTTGTGAATGTCTCTGTATTCTCAAGACTCCATGTCTTTCCTCTTTGCTTTCTGCCTTGCAGAAAATCCTTCCAACATCCACTTTATCGAACAGCTTGGCGGACTGGAGGGGAGCCTCAAGGAAACCAACCTGCATCTCAGCACTTCCTTCTCCACAGGCACCGTGTTTTCTGGCAACTTCCTCGATTCCCTCCTGGCCACGGTAAGTGTGGCTAAGGCCCAGATTTTCCAAACCAAGTCCTGGGTAAAGGGGTGAGTGGTTGGGTTAGAGCTGGGTGCAAGATGAGAACACCTCGCCTGTCTAAGTTCTCTTTGACTTTCAAAAATAAACCTCATTCGTGCACATCATTTCATCTGCATGCCCAGCTGGGTGGTGAGAGAAGTAGAGATTTCACGTTTTCTGGATTAAAACCTTGAGATCCCTGGAGCCAGTGCTGTTGAAGCCAGGAGAAAAGAGAGCTGGCCCTTCAGCCTCAAGTGTGCATTGGCAGAGTGGGCCCTTGGCGTTGGAGCCTAGAGGATATGCACTCTCTGCTGCCTGGAGTCACCCAGCAGCTTCTGCTGAAACTGGCCATAAAGGAACCCTGGGGTCCACAGCAAAGTCAAATCTCCCTCCAGCTTGCCCCTCTAATGTGGAACATTTTGGACTTCATGGTTGCTCTTTTGTTTTCAGAACCTTGAGCCACTAAGCAGACTTCTTGCATTCACTACAGAATTCCCATGAGGAGAAGTAACTCATCCTCCTACAGATATCTATTGAACCCCTGCTCTGCCCAAGTGCCGTGGATACAGTGGTGACAAACAGACCTCTCCACCAGGTGGAGTTTGCACCAAGGGGAGGAGATCGACAGGAACACGCTAACTAACATCCAGTCACAGGGCTAAGGAAATGTGCGATGGGAAATATAGGGCTGGGTCAAGCTGTTGCTGGTTTCAACACACGACCAGGAGAAGCAACCTGTGAGTGAAGCTCAGGGTCAGAGGGCGAGGTAGGCCATGCAGACCCCTTAGAGAAGAAATACCCAAGAGGCTGCGAGGCAGCAGCAAACCCAGGGTGTTGAAAGAATCTGGATTTGCCTACACCCGAATAATCCACATGTAACCATTTGTGAATGACCACAAGAATTCCTGAAAGAAAATCCATGTGAACCAACACATCTCCTTCTCTTCCTACCCATATTTTTCAAAGGAAGGGTTGCAAAATGGTGGAATATGAACATGCAGGTATTTATATTCACAAAGGTCTGAGCACAAGCTGATGAATTTGCTGTCTTCTGGAACCCCATGTAGAAAAGACCTCATTCCTACACGGTATGGGTGCCTTGGGCACAGTGTACACACTAAGGGGAGTGTGGCTGGGCACATGCATCCAGCTTGTGGCCTCAATTCCATTTATATGCTCAGGTGGCTCTGCAGCTCTGGGCTGCATCTCTGTAAGCCATGGGGGAGGGGTCCCGTAGACTCCACTGAGCTGTCAGACACACAGCTCTACTTCAGGGAGAGTTGACGTTAAACGAGTTGGTAGACTACAGACTTCCTAAAGGGTTAAACAGCACGCAGCCTTGGCCACACCAGAAAGCGATGCACTAGAGGGAGTCAAGTCAGGTTACTTGGCTGAGAAGGTGGCTGCATCACTGTCATTGATAGGTCAATTAGCTGGCCTGGAATCAGCGATGAGTTTCAGGCAGAAGGTGACTTGGGGTGATCTTAATCTGTCTACAGGATACAGTTGAGATGGGTTTAAGGCCCGGCTCTCTTCAGTGGCAGGCAGCTTCATGCCTTAAATTAAACTTCAGACTTAATTAAACCACACCTGCCTGGACAGGCAGGAACAAAACCGCAGATTCCATTTTGGAGTTGGTGGGAAGGGCAGTGTCTTGGTCTGTTCAATGTTGCCATAGCTGAGACTGGGAATTTTGCAAACAACAGGAGATTGTTTGGTTCATCCTCCTGCAGGCTTGAATGTCCCAGGGCATGGCACCAGGACTGCTCAGCGTCTGCAGGCTTGAATGTCCCAGTGCATGGCACCAGGACTGCTCAGCGTCTGCAGGCTTGAATGTCCCAGGGTGTGGCACCAGGGCTGCTCAGCATCTGGGAAGGGCCTGGTGGTGCTCATCCTATGGCAGAAGGCGAGAAGGCAAGGGAGAGACACAGAAAGGAGAGAGTCAATATTGCACTAGCCTTTCACTCAGGACCCCGCTCCTGTGATAACTTACCCACTCCCAAGATACAGGCATTCATTCATTCAGAAAGGGCCTGCCCTCAGAACCTACCCTCTTCCAGTTCCCATCTCTCAACATCATGGCACTGGGGGTTAGGTTTTTCAACACAAACTTTGAGAAAGGGACACATTCTTTATTTTTTTTTTAATTTATTTATTTGAGAGTCAGGGTTACACAGAGAGAGAAGAGGCAGGGAGAGAGAGAGAGAGAGAGAGAGAGAGAGAGAGAGAGAGAAAGTCTTCCATCTGCTGGCTCACTCCCCAGTTGGCCACAATGGCTGGAGCTGTGCCAATCCGAAGCCAGGAGCCAGGAGCTTCTTCCGGGTCTCCCATGCGGGTGCAGGGGCCCAAGGACTTGGGCCATCTTCTACTGCTTTCCCGAGCCATAACAGAGAGCTGGATCAGAAGTGGAGCAGCCAGGACTAGAACCGGCACCAGTATGGGATGCCGGCACTTCAGGGCAGGGCATTAACCTGTTGCACCACAGCACCAGCCCCAAGAGGGACACCTTCAAACCAGTCAGGCAGGGCAGAGAAACACTGAAAGAGTAGAAATAAAAACAAATGAACACACTATATAAACCAGCATGGGAAACACAAGCTTAGTAATAAGAGTCCTGAACTAGGTGTCTGCTGAGTGGGATCTTGGCCTTGGGCGGTCAGAGCAGGGCTGTGTATTGTATTAATGGCCTCTGCTCAGTGGAAGAGGGGCTTTTTTGCTAAAAAACAAAAATGAGCTACATAAAGTCTCAAGAGTCTGTTCTGACCCCCTCTCGTGACGTCTGTTGGGTGAAAACAAGACCACGTAGTGTGGACTGATAGGGGGGTTGTTCCATGAGGTTATAACCCCCAGTGGACCAACAGCTTGCCCTTAATAAACCCTGATAAGGGTGACACACAAATCCCATTATTTTCTTCCACATAGAATCACAATCCTTTTGATGTCAAAACTGAAGAAATGATATATCCCAAAGCCAAGCCTCTCAGTTAAATATGTAAAGCACATGTTTGCCCAGAGCCATTGACATCAGGATAACCCTAGAATTTGCGCCTTTTCTTTAATCAGTGGAGAATTATTCTAACCGTATTATGTTTGATCACTCTATATGATGGCCACATGTTCTTAAACGGATTGTGGCTCACCCTGGATTTGCATCCTCTGGTCCCACTGGATGGCAGGCTGATTCCATACACACCCCCCTGGATGGTTCTGGGCTGGAACAAAGAAGCAGCAGCATAGGGTGGAGGAATCACTCAGGAGATGCAAAAGGATGTAGGTCATCTTTTAATCTGAAAAATAGTATAGGCGTTCTTTTTATTGTCTCTTAATTCACATAAATTATATAAGAGCACTTTAAAAAGTTGGTGAAAGATGGAATTGAAAAGATAAGTTTATTTTGGTGCCCTAATTTTAAAGCCCGTGCATTTTTTGTCATAAAAAAATTCTAAGTAAACATGTATTAGGAAAAAGATCATGCATGGATTTCAAAAATTTTTTGAACCAAAACAAACTTATGTTTTAAATCCATTTTCTATGAAGTTTTGAAAGTATTCTCATATTATTTCATAGATCCACTTGTCCCATTGCCTCTGTGTTTAAGCAGCATTTGTGTATTTGTTAGAAACCACCTGCCTGTTGCAGTCCGTATTCTTACAGATCCTGCTTGCTAAAGCGCTAGTGAGGGCTTGAATGTTAAGGAGACAAAGTCCATCTTCAGAGCAAGCACATGGTTTTCTTTTTGTTGTTGTTGTTGTTTTTGTTTTTGTTTTTGTTTTTGTTTTGACAGAGTGGACAGTGAGAGAGAGAGACAGAGAGAAAGGTCTTCCTTTTGCCGTTGGTTTACCCTCCAATGGCCGCCGTGCCTGTGTGCTGTGGCTGGTGCACCGCGCTGATCTGAAGGCAGGAGCCAGGTGCTTATCCTGGTCTCCCATGGGGTGCAGGGCCCAAGCACGTGGGCCATCCTCCACTGCACTCCCTGGCCACAGCAGAGAGCTGGCCTGGAAGAGGGGCAACTGGGACAGAATCCGTCACCCCAACTGGGACTAGTACCCGGTGTGCCGGTGCCACAAGGTGGAGGATTAGCCTATTGAGCCGCGGCACCGGCCGGAGTGAGCACATGGTTTTAAGGAAGCACTGTCTTGTCTGTTCTGAGGATTATCAGGGTACGAATAACCACGTGTGCTTTATAAAAAATCATATTTATTTTCATTTTATTTGAAAGAGCAACAGACAGGGAGGTGGGGAGGCCTTCCATCTGTTGATTCACTCCCCAAAATGCTTGTACCAACCAGGGCTGGGCAAGGCCAAAGCTAAGAGCCTGGAACTCAATTGCACATGGATGACAGGGACCCAGGGTGTGTGTTAGCGGGAATCTGAATCAGAAGTAGAGTAGCAAGGACTTGAACCAGGTGCAAGAGTCCCAAGTAGAGACCTAAGCTGCTGTGCTGCATACCTGCCCTGTGGTGCTTCTCAATTCCTACTTTATTCTTCTATCCATATTCTTGGATCCAAAAATCCAAGCTCCCAGAAATATGCACTTATTAAAATCATTCCAGATGACCTAGCTGCAAGAGAATCATGATAAAGGGATAGAATTTGGTGCGGTGTGCATTGTATGTCATTTAATCCTGCAAGCAAAGATACCTGGGCATTACTGTGTCAATGGATAAAATTGTTCCCAAGATAAATATATATGAATTGCCCAGAGGTACTCCGGTTGGAAGGCACAGTCCGATATTCAAACCCAAGTGTGATCCAGATGAACAACTCACTCCAGCAGAAAACAGAATGAAGTAGACTAAAAGCCAGTGGCCAGGGGATCACAAAGAAAAGAAAATTTCCTGCTGATGAGGAGGCCCATGGAAGCCACCAGGTCAATGAGGGATCAACCAGCTGTTCCTAAGCAAAAGCATAACGGAGTAAAAGTCTCGCTTGAGCAGTCCCAGGTAGACCAGCTGCTCTGCAAGGGAACAGCTCATGCAAGAGGTGAGCCTGGAAAGGGAGGTTGTGTCAGGTCATGAGGCTTAGAAGGCTACAGCAAGGAAGCTGGCTTGGTTCTATAGCAGCTGATGATGCTAAACCTATGAGGAGGTAGAGGGCATGATACGATTTGCATTTCTAGAGAATCGCTCTGGAGATATCACCAACAATGGATTGCAAATGAAAAGAAAAACAAGGGGAAAACCTAGTAAAGAGATACCTATAATAGTCGAGGCTCTATAAGATGAGTACCTGAGTTTGAAAGTAGACAAAAGGAAGGATAAGTTTCTAGAATAATAACAATCGATGACATTTCCACTCCTTACTATAAGAAAATGTTTTTTCTACAGGCAACCAATGCATAAACATAGGTATTAGATCCATTTTCATTAGTTTAACTAAAATATTCAAGAGAAACTCCTTGACAGGGATCACATTTCAGTTAATTTTCAACACTTAAGAATAACTGTGTGATAATTACAGAATTAAACCAGTCATATTAAGTAGAATTATCACACAGTTATTCTTAAGTGTTGAAAATTAACTGAAATGTGACCGTTTGGGATGTTCAGGGAGGTGAATATAGAGGGGGCTAGAGGAACATAGTGTCTTATTTTTTATATTTTTCGTGGTAATACATCATTACTTTTTTTTTTTTTTTAATTTATAGAGTTTAGAGTAGACGGCAGCATAAAATTAGTTATGCAACGAAACAAGACGATGGATACAAATCCATTATTAGATCATGGTATAGTAAAATCGACTATCAAATTTAGAGAGTGAGTATTTGGTACATTCATTGTCCAATATCCGACGCAAAAAGCTATCTAAAGAAGATAAGAAGGACATATAATGACTGATGATTCTATGATAACATATTCGTACACGTAGCATACATACAGTTAAGAACTGAGCTACAGCAATGATGTCACGAAAAGAGCTAGGCGACGTGGACGACAACGGAGACAGAAAGTCAGTGAAGGTGATTGAGCCTGATGGTAAAAAACGTAGCATATGCTAGCTTTTCT